CGCAAATGGCTACCATATTGAAAAATATACTATTTTTGTATGATAATTATGGGTTTTGTATTTTATTTTAATAGAAGTTGATGTTGCTTTTGCAATTATCCATCAATTTTTTAAAATTAAACACTATCTACAGATTTGCATCGAAGCGTTTCTTATGATAGTGATTTTAATCACTGTCAGATTAAATCTATACTGGACCCTACTATGCAATGTCTCTACTATGCCGCGACCCCACTGTGCTACCGTTTTTCTTTTTTTTTGTTTTATCTTAGATGTACTGCAGTACGATAACACTCCGTGTATTTTTTTTATTCTCGCGCTGTTCGTCAATCCAGTGACACTTTTTATTTTGTACTCTTTTTTTATGTATGTATAAAATCATTTTTCATTATTAAAAAGTATTAATTATTATAAATTTTAATTGTAGTATTTTGTAATAAATATAAACACCAAAACACTACATAGTAATAGATTTGATTTCATGCCTGTAAGACCTAAATGAGTTCATTTGTCTGTACGGAATGTAATCTCTAGGAATATCTTCTATTCCTTGAAATAGACACTGCTTATAATTCTCAAATCTATTGTGATTTTTGACGGCATGATACGCCACTCCTTTTGCCTTGATACACTCTTTAGCATTTTGAATAAAACCGTAAGCCTTGGATCTTAGAGCTAAGTGTGCTGAAATAAACTCCCCTCCAGTCTCGTCAGTGAAAATACCAGGAATCTTACACCGTTCAGTACGATAACATGGATGGTTAACTGGATAGTTTGAGGTATCTAGTTTTTATATAAAACTTTGATTTTTTTGCATATCATCATAAAAATTCTTGGTTTTGACTAAATATGACTAAAACACATGAATTAATTACAAAAAAAAAAAATGTTTACAATAAAAGACGATAAGAACCTGTGTCCATGTATAAAAGTTCAATGTATTCTGTTTATAACGCTTTCGTAGTCNTTCAATGTATTCTGTTTATAACGCTTTCATAGTACCATAGTGAAAATCATACATAAGAGTTTTTGATATGTCCAACACGGCAAATCCTATGTACATGGGCTTATCGAAAATTAAATCTTCTTTATGCAAATGAATAGCNAAAATTAAATCTTCTTTATGTAAATGAATAGCACACAAGTTATCACCATATACAGTTGTACCTTTATGTGAGGGTAAATTTACAAGCTTTCTATATCTTGACTCACTACTAGTGAGCTCCATTTTCATTCTTAAGCGTACATTCTCCATCGTTTTGCCTAAAACATAATACTTATTTAATTATAAAATAATAGTTATTAAATTATACAGTTTTATACAAACCAAATACTGAGTTGTTCATAGGCTTATAAAAGTCTTTTTCAAACGTATTTTTAGCTACCGAACGCATCCGTGTATTTAATGATATATAGCTTGCCAGCCATGAAGATTGACTAAACGCTATCATTCTATGCACTTTTTCCAACACCAGTCCTGCCTGTAATGCCTGTTTCAACGAATTGTAGTGTACTATGTAATTTTTTTTATGTTTTAAGGTAGCCAAAAGCTTTGGAAACTTAGAACCTTCGGGGACTTCTTTAGAAGGCAGATACGGTAAATCGTTATGATTATGATGTAAGTGTTCAGAGTATGAAACGTCGGCTTCTAATATCATTCCTTTTTTCGAATTATTTGATGTTTTTTTTTAAGAGCTTTAAAACTTCTGAAACATTTAAATTCATCTCACTCCATTTTTATTTTTATTTTATTTTAAACGGACGTTAGTCCAATAACAATTTACATGGGTGTAAAGTAAGATACAAGAATAAAAAACAATTTTATATAAATGCGGAAAAGTATACAGTATTATGAAGCAAACTATTATAATATAAATAAATATAAAAACTCAGAAAATTTCACTAAAAATACAAAAAAATCATTTAAAAAAAATCAAGTGGGACGGTGTGGCCGAGTCGGTAACGCGGCAGCGCTTGACGCGTAGTGTCTCAGGTTCAAAACTCGGTCACGGGCGGCTTCATTTACCGAACGAGAGATCAGTTCGGTAATTTGGAGTCGCCATCCCACCTCCGGCGACGGACTAACCACCCGTCCCGGAGTATAAATGGTTAAGAAACCTCCTCCTTTGGGGAGGCCGCTGTGGCCCTTAATGGGCTAATAAAAG